CTCCTTACATTCCTTCCTACCCGCCGACGCTAGCAACTCAACAGTTGCCACCGTCCCCGCTTCCGCCCCCGCCCTCCTTCTCGCCCGTCAGCAACAAGAGCCCCGTCAACTGGTACCCCCCGTATCCGGGCAAATCGATCTACCAATCGGCCGACTCGGCCTACCCCGGCCCCTACTACCCACCGGGTCGCAATTACTACAACACCCTCCCACCCCCGGTCTATCGCGGTCTCTCCGGCCTCGGCTACCCCGGACTCGTCGATCCGATCGGCGTCGGCTCGAATCCGGCAGCCAATTGGCTCTCGAACAAAATGTTCAGTGCTTACGGCCGGACGCCGCCTTACTCCGTCAAACAGCCGCCGTCGCCACAGCAACAGTCGCAGTCGAACACGATTCTCGTGGACGTCGACTATCTGAACCATCTAGAGCATAACCACCATCACGTCGGCGATGACGGCCATATACACGCTCACGATCCCAACCATCCCTACCTGCATAGGCCGATGCCCATCGGCTACGCAACAGGCTCGCCCAGCAACAGGGACTCACAGACACCGTCTCAGGAGCCGATGAACATCAGAGCCGGAGAGTCCGAATGGCGCAGGAGCAGTCTGCGCATTCATCCAGGCGATTTGGAGGTGGAGGAAATGAACAATTAGAACATCACTCACCAGACCTGCGTTACTACACACACACACACACACACACACACACCCATACACATGCACACGTACGCACTTTTTGGCTCTACCACGTATACTACTAACCATACTACTGACTCTGGACTCGCCTCGCCGTCAGGCAAATTTATCAATTGTGCAATCGCGTTTGTCGTCTGGCTGGCCCTCCTCTTGCTCATCTTCTTCTCACCTTCCAGCTCGAACGATTGAACCTTGTCCGGTTGAGGCGACGCCCGAAACTGTATCCAACCAACATGGGGCAATCCCCAGGTCGGGATGAATATTCATCATCTTTATATTCTTTAGACGTTGGTCTGGTCACAAATGTATTATTGCACGTTTTATGACAAAAATAAACCACTCTCGAGAAATGATGTCTCTTGATGCCCTGTCAGGCAGTGGCCGACGAGTGGAACGGCCAATGGAGCGAAGATCCAGTCCAAACTGGTGATGGATGACCAGCGCAATTGCCCGGTTCGAATTCGCGCACTTTTCCTAACGACAACAAGCAGGCATAGGGCAGCGCTTACATGCAGAATGCATGCATACACGCATTAGCACCGAGGTGAAGAGGTACACAACAAAGGGTAGATGGGTTTCGATGATTTCATATTTAAGTGTGTCTGGTATGGAGCTGCTTTGGTTGATCTCATCACATGACGATGGCGGTTTCAGGTTGTTCTACAACGGTTTTGGCTTTATTACGACCTTACGGTTGATGTAGTCAGCAATTCTTAATATTGAAAGGAAAGTTGGTTTCAATTTATACCTTGGAATAGCATATAATATAATATAATATAATATAATATAATATAATATAATATAATATAATATAATA